CAAACGGATTCAATAATGCCGGAACCGCTTCGTAGGACATGAGAATACAGATGTTCGTCGGATAGGTCTTCTCGTTTTAAGGGTTGCTTTAGTTCAAGAACATATTTCCAAGTTGAGTCTATCTTTATTTACGGTGAACTGCTGCTCAAAAATAATGAGAACCTACCCTAAGATTCTACATCGGTCATAAACCGAAGGACAAAAAATTAACAGTACTGTTATCGATCGCTACAACTTTTTCGTTTCAGCCAGCCTGATAAATCGACCTGATTGACGCAGAGTGTAATTAACAAGAATGAGCAAACCTTAGTGTGATTATAGGAAAAGGCTGAATGCTTTGACCCCTACCTAACAACTTCACCTTACTTCCCACTTATTGAGTGCACATCACTGACCTAACCAGTTCACGTTTCGTAACCGATCCACCTAAGTGTCAACCGATTACGTGCATTGCGTCGGTAGCTTAGTGTTTTTTTTAGGATGATGCTGTATCTCGCCGTCCTTACTAGATGGATTCAAACTAGAGCAAACAGTCGTAGAGTTAGTTTTAGAGCAAATATTTGAAAACTGACAATAATCCCAACAGCAGTTCAAAAGAAATGTAATTGGTTTCACTGACGTGGTGGGCGTCTCCTTGCGTGCAAAACGGTAGTATAAACATTGATTACATTTGCTCAAACATTGTATATTCTGTCTTGAACCAATGTAGTTAATCAAAACTGAGAGTGGCTAGATTTCCAACCAACTACTCCGAAACAAACGAGTTGTGATAGATCATCCAATCTAATAAATGCGAAGGCGATAAAATAACAATATTCTGAGGTCGGCGATTTAGGCTCAGTGACTTCTGACGGGCAATTACCTTTTCAGTCACAGCTTGATAAGAATGTTAGTAAGACTATCATAAACATGAGAGAATACGGTATCTGCAAAACTGTGTAAATTAATTAGACTACTGGGTCCAGTCTCTCAACTGCCATTCATATACGCTTTTGTACACAGTATTAAGAAGATGGTAAATTCACACATGCGTTGGAAAGGCGAATGTAGGTTGGTCTCTGACTTCAAAGCAAAAAGAGTACACCAGTTATGTAAAAATTGTGTGCCGCATTATCCTGAGGTGAAGTAGAGGGTCGATTGGAAGAGCCATACCGACAGTTGGGCTCTCAGGAATCTGACTTACCACCTACATGGTGCTGAAAACATTTCTTCCCTCTTAGTTCACAGACCATTGCAAAATAGGAGAAACCGTCGAACACAAAGTTTGCTCCCAATGGGCAATCAGGTGACGTGCTCGGCCCATCATGCAGCATTCCGAAGAAGATCAGATTACCTGATAGCGTTTCCCGACCGAATTATCTGGCACATACGTAAACAATGGGTACCAAACGTAGGGCATGTCTGCTTTTCGGTGCAGTTCTAACTTTCACCTCGAGTTACTGAAACGTTGAATGTGACAATTCAACGTCCTAGATCTGATGGTGGACTCGGTCGGTCAGCTATTTGTCATGCGACTCACACATCCAGAAGTTTTATACATTTGACGTCATCTAGGTTGACCGAATGAGCTCTCAGAAGCACCACTCTGAGTGAAACAGTGTGTCGTGACATCTTTGAGTAACACATGTTTCGTCTTCCATGCTACTGCACCACACGTCGCCAGTTAAAACTCGTAGAACGTTCCTAAGCGATGCATGGATTTCGATCATAATTTTGGTAAGTTTTTTTGATGTACTTCTGTATCGAACTGAAAATGAAAAAGTGGGGTGAGTGCATAACGATACATTTCCGCATGAAGCGTGTTTATCCAATTCACGTTTTAGAAATAGTTCTCGGAACCACATTTTCTGTGTTCTTCTTAATTCACTTTAACGAAGAATATCCTGGGTTAGATAAATTCCCAGATAGTCAAAACCGATCACCGCTAATTCTTATTGATTTAGTACCATGAGCCGAACCGATTTAAAATGCTGTGTAGTTTTTCCAATAAAATTTGAGTAAATGTGAACCAGGCATTTTTTACACTTGGCTAGTTCTCATAATATATTTTGCCAGGTACGCGTATATGCTCATATTCTGAACTAGCCTACTACGTTAACTTGGTGGTAGGGCTTGTGCACAGCATCCATGTGGAGGGTTATGCTGACTAGGACTTTGATACATCTATGTAGAGCCATGTCATATGAGTCAAAGTGGAGCAGTCAGAGGAAAACCAGATGCAGTCGTAAGTTTGTTTATCGCACTACTGACGGTGTAAGAAGGCTTAGGTATTAAGACAGGATAGTTTGGGCGTACAAGAGAACCGCTGTTTTTCGAATCAGAAAAGAAGGGGATAGGAAAGATAACTTCAAACAAAAAGCGCTTCAGATGATCAAAGTCCCACCGTGACCGACGGCGCATTACCCAGTATGATCGAAAAGTTTCCGGTATCATCCAGAAGCCTAATGTCGATTCCAATGAATTTACTTCGTGCAGCAGTGACAAAAGTGAGTCGATATTGTCATTGTTCTCTAGGATCAAACAAGTTTCTCTCTATTAAGTGAGTCGAACTCTTGTGTCAATGGCTTCGAGGAGGGTCTCGCAAAAAACCTTATCTCCCGTTGCTTTTGAGTCAGAGGCTTGGATTGGGGTCCCTCAAGTCAACCCTTTCCACAGCACAAGCGACAGGAAAGTATGGGAATCTATCGTTGTAATGACAGACTGGTCCACTGATTTTGAGATGCTTCCTCCTCCGTTGCTAACTGCTCGATCTTCAATCCAAGACAATTGGGAATCATTGGCGCTCTTAACCCATACTCGTCGACAAGTAGGTCAGCAAGTTGCTCCGACCAGCATCGTTTCGAACATGGAACTGGATGTGTGTTGTGGCTTCAAACACGCCTCTGCGTCCCTAGTCTTGTCCTTCATTTGTCTTGATCTTCAAACGATGCGAGGGACTCAGGGTTCATCCTCAGGGAATCTGGTGATGTTGAGACCAAAACTTGGGATCAGGACAGAGTGAGGATCGCATTGAACTGTAATGCAAAGCAGAACCTACTCGACTAGAACTTAGCGAACGTCGTCTGTATGTCGTCAAACTTTACATCTCAATCAGTCTGTCGACGCAGATCAAAAAGATTTTAGTCGCATCTACATGTGCCCCAAGAGACATCAGTTCGGATTGTGTCAAGAGTACTTTCTGCGACAACTTTGATCTTATGATCCAAACCAAGCGTCTGAGCATTGTTGAGATTTCTAATGCTATGAACGCAAAACTTGTTCATCTAACTCCATAGCAGAAACGGATAGATAATATTGTCTGTGTCGATACACGACGCACTAAAAGTGGTGATGAACTACTACAAATATGCGCACCTCAGAAACCTTATCTATCGAGCTGTGCATTTCAGCGCACACAAGGACAATGCGTTATGTGAAGGCCACCTTAGAAAACTCAACAATGGAGGCACATCGATCGTGTCGCAATCAGTCATCAGCGATATCACTGCAATACAGACCGCTGTTCATTTTGGAGTAACCAGCTCGACTCAGATCATGTCATTATTCATGCCTGTTTTGTTAAAACGTTCAGTCAAAGATCGTTTGCTAACGCACAAATTACTGAGGCAAAAATTGCGAGAAAAAGCTCTTATCAAACAGCATCGACATTTAAACTCGGTGGGCAATAATAGCTATGTGGACCTATCGTAAGACGGTCAAGTCCAGAAGAGCACTGCAGATACGACAGAAGTGGTTTTTTTTCTGACTCAGTAAAACTTAAGAGCGAACGTCAGTTGACTTTCTTACTTCAAATACTAAAAAGACAACCTTGAACTAAAACGCATACTTACGACGGACCTGTTTAAAGATCGTGAGCCTTACCACTCCAGGCTAGTCAAAATGAAGAAGCCATTTTTATCAAGCAACAAACAGATGTTGCTTTACTTGATTCGTGGTCGCACTGACCATTGCCGAGGGGTTGCTGAAACCATACACACATAATTGACTGAGGAATTCACAGTCTATCTCAGTACTTGGCAAGTGGGCCGGGTACTTCGAAGAGTAGTTCAGTCGACCTGATTCAACTAACTCAATTTTAGATTATGGAGATTGTATGGTTAGTTATGACTTTCCAAACAGCTCTTCGTCAGAAACCGAAACGGATCTGGAGCTCACAGTATTGGAACGTGGTAAAGCCCCAGGTCCAAACCTCCGTGAACCAAAATGTTTTTAACGATGATGATGAAAGATTGCCAGCTGAACTGACCACATTCCTCGGTTTCATATGAGAGATTGAAGTGGTGTCCCGTGAGTAGTGCTTGTCAACAGTCATCCCTATTTTCAAAAAGGTAACAGAACATTACGTGACGATGACAGAAGTAGTAGCCTCGGCTAAGTTGCATCTGAGAACCATCTGAGAGAAGAACAGACAGGCTTCAGGACTAGTTGACGGTGTGCCCATCTTATCTTCATCCTGCTACCGACTGTAGAGCATCGGCACTCCTCTTCTCAGCCAGTGGTCCTATCGGTTTTTCGACACACTACCTGAGACTGTCTCTATTGCACAAGCATCACAGTTGGGTATGTTAATTTGATGAAGTCGTTATCGGCCAGCTCTGAATGCAGAATTTGTATTTATCAACAGCCGTGTTGGCTGTTCTCTACATCCGGTGGTGGTCGATAGAGATTTCCGATCTCCCATTCTTTTTCAACTCTATGATGGATGATATTCTGGAATGGCCATTCAAAGGTTCCAAGGATCTGGAAGTAGATCTTCTAACAGGTAGCCAACCGACTTTTACTGCGTATGTGACGAAGCTTCCTCACTAACTTACTCTTCACAGAACAAACAGAATATTCTGAATCGGTTAAAGGATGTAGCTGGTCTGCATGATATATACTTTATGCCTTCAAAATGTAATGTTTTTATAAGGTTGGGCTAACACTAACAATGTTCGTTATTACTAATGATTAGTTTGGCAGATTTATTAGTTTAGATGAGACCCAATTGTGAAAGGTCAGGGCTTCGACTGGATTCGAACCAGCGACAGAAACGCCATGCCTCGACACGGCGAGCGCTCTACAAGCTGAGCTACGAAGCCACGCAAGAAGCTCAGAAATTTCACATTTGGACTCGGTTACCCACCCGCCCCACTATCTCTTATGGAATCCACCAAATGATCCAGTGGACCGACCGCCCGGGCAGGATTTCTCGAACAGTTTACGCATAGATCGGAAGCCCAGACAATTCTTGCGGATGATGCATGCAGACTCCCGGTATTCGTTTATTGTTGTCTGTGCCAGTCAGTCTGTAATAAATGTGCTGACTGTGTAACGAATGAAGCAGCGGTTCGGTGCTTATTTTGGGAATATGCAAGTTTGCAAACGATAACCGAGATAGTAAATGCGCGCAGTCTTCCCCGGTTGGTCCACACACTTCGTGTGTCCACGGAGCGTCTGCCGCACCACGCATTGTGCATTGTGGCTGCTGGTTCTGGAATATAATGACGATCGTCGAGAACTTAAACGCAAACCGACTAAAAACTTGCGCAAAGACCGTGAGCACTACTTGGTTGAACAGTCGAAAGAGACGGAAATAGCCTATTTGGCTGGAAACAGGAGGAGGCTATTTTCTATGATCCGTGGTAGTACTGGTCATTGTGTCGGTGTAAGTGAGACCATGCGTGAAAGAGATGGTTCAATTATCACTAATCAGTCACACCGACTTGAAAGGTGGGCTGAATGTTTTAAAGAACAGCTGGCCCCAACCAGACCATGTGGACGACGGAATCACAATGCTCAGTTATTGCATTCCAGACGGCCCTACATCGGAACCAGAAGTAGCTCTGGAGCTCAAGTTGTAGGAACGTAAGAAGGCTCATGGACCAGAGCTACTGTCTCCCTCTGTTTACTAGGATAATGGGAAGAGGTTGATATCAGAACCGACAAAATTCTTCCAGAAGATTTGGGAAACTGGAGAGGTACCTCGCGATTGGCGCTCATCAACAGCAGTTCCCGGTTTCCAAAAGAAGGCTCGAAGTATAAGTGACAACTACAAAAGCATCAGTCTAATGTCCGTTGCGTCCAAGTTACTCACTGGCCGCATTTTTCGTCGGCTCACTAGGCCCAGAGGAAGTCAGATACGCAATGAACAGACAGGATTCCGACCCCGTCGAGGATGTGTTCACCACATTTTTACCTTGCGACGGATCTTGGAACACCGGTACCCTTATAGGCAACCGACGGTCGTGATCATTCTGGATCTGAACGCTGCTTTCGATACAGTTGCTCTTAACGTTCTCTGGGACTGTCTTCTTCCCGAGGGAGTGCTAGGGAAATACGTGAATCTGTTGCGATCACTTTACTCTCACTCTACAGGCAGGGTGAGAGTTTATGGACAACTTTTCGGGCGTTCATCACTTCTAAGGGATGTCCGATTTCTTCCCTCTTCTTCAATTTTGTCATGGACCACATTCTGGAGGGTGCATTCGAGGAGTCCAGTAAAGTTAGTGTTGAGCTTCCTGGCGCACGGTTGATCGATCTGGAATATACGGACGACATTGTCTAACTTAGTCCCTTTACCGAAGACATGCAGACCATGCTGAATAAGGTGAGTGACCACGCTGATTCGTATGGAATGTTTCGCACCTCCAAAGTACAAAGTGTTGCTTCAAGACTGGGGCATTTTTCCTCCTACTTTCTTTATTGCAGGGAATCCGCTTAAGACTGTGAACAGTTTCACATACTTCAGTAGCACTATCCTGTCAGCTGATGAGATATCAACGAGGATAGCAAAGGCACGACCTGCGTTTGTCAACCTGTGTCATCTGGGGCGTCGAAAAGACGTTCGACTGTCGCTGACAGGAAGAGTATGTAATGCTTGTGTACGTTCTGTTCTGATCTATCGTTCGGAAACGTGGCCTGTTCGCAAGGAAGATATCAACAAGCTTGTTGTATTTGACCATCGTTGTCTCCGCCAAATAGCCCACATTAAGTGGACTGATCGCGGGAGCAATGTGGCAGTTAGCCGGCGCACTGAGAGACAGAGATGCTAATAAAAACAACCGGAGGACTTACAATTCGTTAACCTAATCAGATTTCTTATGAAACTTTGGCCGGTACGCACGAAACTGCACTCAGTATGTAAAGTAAGTACGTAGATACGTGAACAGCCGTGCGCCTAATCAGCTGGCTTGCGCTACCCCTCATCGCAACAGCACTTAAGAATACTCAAGAAGAACAATGTATCGGAAGAAAAGCGAGATTTAATAAGACCAAATGAAATAGCCAACAATGGTGTGAATTCAAGCACCCTGTTATTTGTGACACTGGGGTGCTAGATAACGTTTCAATAATCAGGAAGTCACAACGTGAAGGGCGACCTGCTGATTTCAGTCAAAACACAAGCGGAATATTGGTGCCCTTGGGTCAAGACATAAGGTGATCACTTCATGGTTTATCTAACCATTGTTGTTCTCTACAGATGTCCTAAGCGATGATTGTTCAATTGATGGGGCACGTGATTAAACCACCTCAGACCGCGCATTATCATCCATCGACAGACCGATCGCACAGCCGACCTTTCTGGAAATACATGTAGTCGGCAGGACAAGTTGTTCAGTTGATCACTTCACTGGGTGTTGACTAATTGCCAGAGCCATCGACGGTAGAACACCGCGAGTTTGGTCACATCTTTGTCAAAAATGGGACATCTTTCTGAACCACAGAGTACACTGAATTCAACACACATAATTCACATCTACGTTCAACGAAAACCAAAGGTTTTTTTAAATATCAGTAATGATGAACACTGCCAGAGATTAGGAGCAACATCAAATTACCTGTCTTTATTCGTCTGAGAATCAGGAATCTCGCCATTATCAAACAGACTGGATGAAAAATAAAAATCAACATTCCAGTCAACCTTCTGTAGCACTGTTATCACTACCCACCGCTAAATGGATAGCTCTACCACCCATTGAAATGTCTACTCAAATCTTCGCAGGTTCTTACTGTTTTGACCAGTGCAAGTGTGGCTCGGACGTTCGCTACCCGGGAAAAATTGGAAAAAAATCTGACCACCTGAATGGTAGAAAATGTAACCAAGCGCTCAGCCATGTTAACTTCGAGATAGTCGACGCAAGGTTTCTCATATGAATGGTTCGTATTCGCACACAATATTCCTCATTTAACTTCAGCTCAAAGTGTCATCAAGGAAATGTCATAACAAAACCATCTTACCCGAAGTGAGCTACGATCGAAAATAGTGAAAAAGCCTTCTATGAATGTTGCTCCGAGGATGGTACCAAAACTTCCGCGTTGAATGGCGAAGGCGAAACAGTCCTGTTGCTGATCACCTCTTGCAAATCTGCCAGTATAGCGAATGTATTGCTGAAAGGAGGATACACAGTTTAATGAATGTTCAGAGTAGGTCTGAATGTGTGCAATCCTGCACGAAGTACCAACAGTTACTTGACTGGTAACAGGTAAAACAATGATACTGAAGATTTTTCTGTTGTTTGTTGTTGTTAATTTGCGAAATAGTTCACAACTCATGCTGTTTATCCTCACAGACAAATATTCTGCACTTACTGCAAATCGCGTTGTATTGAGCTTGGTGGAATGTGGTTTATATTGACGTTCTTTGATAAAACATACTACAAAATTAGTTCTGTAACTAATTAAGGTAGTAATCAACAGGTTTGGCAATCAACTCGGGTTAGCAACATCTATTCAAACTTTAAAACGTTGATGCGTTCAGATTCCACATTTATCCCTAAGTTCAAATGTACATAAGTTCCAAGGAAATCGAAAGTTTCAGGTGTTATGCAACACTATGGTGACATTGATCCCAAGTTCATCAAATACGTTTAAGCGGTGACAAGGGGTGCTCGAATTATATACGACTATACAGAATCATTCCAATTAACAGTCAAGAAGATTAAGTGAACCCAGTACTAAATTTTGAGGATCATACTAATCTATCAAGTAGTAGAAACTGATTAAAGTCACAGACTTCAAATCAGTGTCAACGCAATAAAAATGGACGTCCACTGCATTAATTACATAGAGTGATGAATTGTAGGTGAAAAGCTAACAGTTTTCAAAAGGACTGATAGCATTTTTGACGTAATGCCGATCAGTAAAGTCATAGATTTTGTTTTATTGATTGGATCAGAACCAACACTTTTCATATCCACATATAAAATGAGGTTTACTTGTAAGAACACTTCCTGTCTTAAGAAGGAACAGGACCTGAATACTTGATTACTTACTTGAATAATATGAAAATTAGGCTACGGAGAGCCTGGAATAAACTAGTTACATTCTTTCACACGTAAACGATATTGTGATATTTTTAAGAACCCGCTTTACGCACGTAAACCCTTTCGGGTAGGAATCGAGACCCGAATAAACTAAGTCCTACCGAAATTGAACGGAAAAAAACTCTTTTAAAAATGCTCAAGAAAACAGTGGATAGTAACACGCCGATACGATGGAACAAAAGACTGATCTATCTACTCATATTTCACGTGGACAAAATAGAGAAGCTGCCACTTCACAGAACGTAAACAAAACGAAGGATATGGTGCTGGATAGCCTGTTGATCGTAGGTAAGAAATCCGGAAATCCTTCTTTCCGGAAGCTTCGACTATTTTATCAGTTAGTTGGGTCCCACTTTTAAATTCACTTGCTTTACAGTATTAAACGTTTACCAGTGTTCATTCTAACAATTTGGACGGTGTCACAGAGGAACAGTCTGAATGGCCTGTTCATCAAATTGCTCCGTAACCCTAATGAATCTAACTTAATTTTGTTTCATCTAATCGCTTGGTTCTTTCTCATCAGTAAGTTTGGTCAATCCGAGTCCCGTAGAGGTAGGTTTGATTTTTTCACACGTATGAAAAGTCTAACAAGTGCGGGATGCAAGTTTACGAAGGATAATCCACTATTCATGGTTAGAAGACAAACGGGTAACTTGCGTGCAATGGGTGCGTATGACTTTGTTGGAAATACAATTCTGTGTTCACAAAATGTCCATGTAATAAGGGTATTCAGCAGAAAAAGTTATTATAAGTAACCATGTTTAGAAGGATAGTGG